CCATTGATCGGCTCATCCTTTGTAAGCGTTCTCTGGAAGCGCTTGATTTTCAAGCATTAAAGGAGGAGGTGAGGCGGGGTGGAGAAACACACCGATATAGAGCGAGAGAGATTTCACACACATCAATTCTCTCACGCCCTCTATGAAATACATGCTCAACAGTCGTCTACATGGTGAGAAGAAATGCCCCTAAAATCAGATCCATTCAATTCTTTAATAACATCTCAGGAGGGCCATTATTGGGAGAGAGAGTCATTACACCTCACTGAGAGAGTCATCAGAGTAATTCCTCCTGACAACACGACTTCACAAGAGCTGAAAGAGACTCGCTACAATACCTCAAGTGGTCCCATATCATAAGAATTCAACTTTTCATTGATCTTTTTAAATAAAAGTTGAGTGTGCTATGTGTGCTCACATCCTCTAACTTCAAAGTGCTTCTGTTATGCTATTTTAAAGGTCCTACATTTCCTTTGGACTCTCCTGCAATTGGTTTCCATGCATCCAAGGTCAAAAAACTTAATTTACTCATAAGGAAAAACGGTTTGTTTGCAGATTCAGTCTCTCTAAACCCCGCCTCTCTGAGAGCTGCTCTGCTCTGATTGGTCAGACGGCCCAGTCTGCTGTGATTGGTCAGAAAGCAAACGCTCATGATCATATGTGAGTCTCAGCTCTTGACACACAGTGATACGAACAGTGGCGATGGCGTGGGTTTTACCGTATCAATCTCATCACAGTGGATTTGCTTTGTCAGCAGAAAACAGCGTCTTCTCGACATGAACAACACGAACCGAACTCTCCCAGTCTCAGATACACTACAGCGTTTGAGGGCGGGGCTTAGAGACGCTGTTCAGCCAATCAAGACCACAGGCTGGCTTTATGCTAATGAGTTACATTCTGACATGGGTACGCAACAGGAAGTGAGACTGAATTACTGACGACTCGTTTCAGTTCAGAATCACTTCATTCTTTTAGGAGACAAAACTACATTTATCTGCACTCTGATCTTTAAAACTGCATGAAAGGTAATATTAAAAAAATATATTCAAATAAAATGCACTTTAGGGCAATATTCTCTGTTTTATCATTCTTATTGTAAGTTTTTTATTGAAAGTACAGGTTTAATAGTCCATAATATATGTCAACAAAGTACATTTTTAATTGTAACTAGAAGAATATTTTGTAACTTATATTTATTATTGTACATTTTGCCTTATGTACAATGGAAAAAACATGCTGTTTTCTTTAAATTATTACTAAAAATTACTTAAAAAGTAGTCTATTTCAAATAAATACTTTCTATTTATCAAAGAATCATGAAAATACACAGAAATCTGAAGCAGCACAACTGTTTTTAACACTGATAATAATCATAAATGTTTCTTGATCATCAAATCATCATATTAGAGTGATTTCTGAAGGATCATGTCATGTGACACTGAAGACTGGAGTAATGATGCTGAAAATACAGATTTGATCACAGGAATAAATTACACTTTCCTATATATTCACACAGAAAACAGCTATTTTATATTGTAATAATATTTTATAATTCTACTATATTTCTAAGTAAATATTTTGATTAAACAAATCCTGCCTTGGTGAACATAAAAGCGACTTTTTTCCAAAACATTTTTTAGAAGGGAATCATCACAATTGATGCTTCAAAACCCCCTGCAAGAAGTTAACCAGAATATTTAACTAATTTGCAATAATATCATTGCATATTAATAATATCATTGCATATTTTTGCATATACATTTTGTTCTAACCCCATCTTACCCTATACACACACACTACACTGTAAAAAAAATCCCGTTGTTTTTACGTAAAAAAACTGGCAGCTGTGATTAACTTTACCGTCAAAAATACGGTCTCAACGTTATTGGTTTTACAGACTTAACTTAAAATTTACAGTAATAAACCGTATTTCATTATCTGATCAAAAGTTAATTTACCAACCTATTGAAGTATTAATATCTGTTTTGTACCATTGTAATACACTGACAACCAACAATCATCACAGCAGTGATGAGTCACATGATAAATCAAAAACTGATGATCACAAGCAGCTCTTCCACATGAAAGTTAATATTAATATATAGAAGCTGCACAGAGTCATTCGCACAAACATTAAACACCATCATGGTAACACACATGACATTTTTTAAAATGCAATAAACAACAACATTAAATGTAACAAAACCCTAATGCACATAACTGACTGCACAAGAACTAAGAAGAAATATTTATTTCAACAAAAATACATCAAATGTCACGTGTCACACAGGGAATTGTGGGAATGTCAATTTACGTTTTTTCACTGTAAATTATACAATGAGTTGTTGTTTTTCACTTTCAAAAACTGTACATTTAACGGTATTTTACAGTAAAATTACATTAAATGTACCGTTAGATCTATCACAGTTATTTACCGTTTATAGTTAGGAAATTTTCTGTTAACCAATGAACAGTTTTGCACTGTAGATTTTTACAGTTTTTTACCGTTAAAATCACGATAATTTTTTACAGTGATATGCATATATGTGCAGTTTTTCATTATATTTCTTATTAATTTTTAGAAGGGAATCATCACAATTGAGGCTTCAAACCCCCCTGCGAGTAGTTGACCAGAATATTTAGCTAATTTGCAATAATATCATTGCATATTTACAGTGTTTTATTATATTTCGTATTCTAGTTTGAAAGGCATTTGGAATACTGTTCAGCACCATGGACAGCAACACACACTCTAAAACACACAGTCGGGAACCTTTTCTGATCGCTTTTGGAGATTATAGCAGCCATACGACCATATTCCAGCCATCCCACAAACCCTTCAACACACACACACGTCTCTCTCGTTTCAGTGAGAAACCGAGGGAGCTCCACAATCCGTCTGTCAGCGCCACCGGAGGCCGTAACCATTATGAATGGGCAATAAGACACGTGGAAACCACGAGCCAAACCTCATAAAGCAGTGGAACAGCAACTCGTATATATTAACCGGAGAAGAATAAATATGAGAGGGGACGGAAACCTTTTTAGAGAGGTGAACGCTGAGGAGAAGCTAATCCTGATGAAAAGAACTGACGGATTTATGGACTGTGCATGAAAATATTCTGGCAGAGTTTAACGTCGTAAGGTCATAAGATGAGAGGAGAGAGACTTGCACCATCAAATCCGTTTTATACTGTACTTTACACTATTGTACTGTGATGTGTTTACACAACATGCACTGTATTGCATTCTGTGGTGTCTGTACGTGTAAAGTTTGCTATCCCGTTATTATACACTGTAAAACGTATTATATTCTATGCATATGTAGGGTTAGATGACACACAATCAGCACTTTTGATGAATGGCTATTTTTAATTTTGTCATTTCATATGAATATCAACATTTGTGAGATTTAGTCAGTTTTGAGGTTATTTGATCAAATTTTGTTCCTCTGGAAAATAGTATAACACATTGTATTATGCTGAATATCAAAGTTTTTTGTGTCTATTTGTTAATGAGGGACACACCAATGATTTTTTTTTAGATTTGTGGAGTAGAAGTTATAGCTTTTATTTTGAAGTAAAAAGATCAAATTAGACCCTATGGGGTAAGATGAGCCACCCAGAATTGGCACAGATTGGTATGTTGTTATTTTTAAATTGAATAATTAGTGTAATTAATGGGGTTGCTATTCAGTATTTCCATGAATTATATGTACGTTTCAGACATCTTCGCTTTCATTAAAACCTAGTTGAGTGAAATCATTCAGTTTGCGTTCATCGTGTTGCTATTATACATATCTTCAAATTAAATTCATATGCATATATACAGTAAGTCACAGAATCATTTTACCTTTCAAAATGAGACTCTTTTAATCTCTTTTACTGGGATTCTGCTTTGTCTGTCATCAGTTATTCAACTAAATTGAATTCAATTTTAAATAGAATAGTTGATAGTCTTTTTCATTGACGACAGATTAATGGGGGGGGGGGGGGGGCTTGAATAATTTTAAATTTTGTTCTAACCCCATCTTACCCTATATACACACTATATGCATATAGTATGTGCATGAAATATGCTTTAGTTTTAGTATACTGTGTACACACATTTCTGTTCTACTGTTATACAACATTGTATTCCACTACATGGAATATGTGCACTCTAAAAAAAATGCTGGTTTGTTTTAACCCAACTTTGGGTCAAATATGGACAAACCAAGCCGTTGGGTTAAATTTTTACATTACATTTTTAAGCCAATATTTGGTTTTGTCCATATTCGACCCAAAAATTGCATTTTTTTTACAGTGTGTTGCACGCAAAAGAAAGACGGGAGAAAAGAACAGAAGGAGAGAGAAGTAATGAGCACTAACCCCTGAAGACCATGTTTCTGTATCCGTAAAGAACGCACGCGAGTCCTTAGGGCGTTCAAACAGGACGCGTTCTTGCGTTCAAAAACAGACGCACTGGAACGGAACAGAACGCGGTCGCTAGGGCGTTGCTATGATGTTTGCTTCCAGTCAAAAGTCTCGCGTCTCTGTGTTGTCTTAGTCTGTAGATATATGTGGATTTTTTTTTCGTCCAGCACATGGAAATGTTGTGTCTAGTAAAGTAATGTAAAGACTGATGATTTGAGGAATGAGTTACACGCCAAGAACCAAGTTGAATTGGTATGGTAAGGCGTTTTGTTTAAATATATAGACGTGTCAGTAATAGTGCATGGTACTTGCCTTAGCAAACACAGCTAAAAAGCGAAGACCTCTTGAGGCAAAGAGCGCAGAGTGAGCGCGCGCATCTCTCTCTCTCTCTCTCTCTCTCTCTCTCTCTCTCTCTCTCTCTCTCTCCTCTCTCTCATCTCTCTCATCTCTCTCTCTCTCTCTCTCTCTCTCTCTCTCTCTCTCTCTCTCTCTCTCTCTCTCTCTCTCTCTCTCTCTCTCTCTCTCTCTCTCTCTCTCTCTCTCTCTCCCCTCTCCCGCGCGCGCCTTCTCTCTCTTTCTCGCGCGTTCATTCCGGACAGATTCTTCTTCTCTCTCCAGTGGATACTGCGGGGAACACACGGATTGCCAGTAGGATGGATTGCTGAAAGTCCCTTTTGCGAGATTATCCATTTATTTCTTTTCATTTCCGTCCGGTCACGCAATCTCGTCTCCATCCATCCATCCATCCATGTGTCCGGACGGGTTGTTCTGATTCGGACAGAATGCGGATCCTGGTGTTGATCCCGCTGCTGTGGGGACTCAGTGAAGGGGCTTTTCCCAGCAGTGTCCAAATCGGTGAGTTACACTTCTATAACACGACAGACACTTTAATAATCCCGCGAGGAATATCGCAGTGCAACAGATACAATGTAGTGCATAATAATATACAAGAAGCCTATACACTGCACTACACAAATACAGAGATAGGAGTCTAAAAATAGCGATGTCAAATGAAATTTAAAATCATACCAACCCTAAAGAACCTAGTATGCTGAAATTGCTCTTTGTGTTCTTGCTCTGTTCACCTTATTAGACCCTAAAAAGCTGCTTTTCAGCACTAAAAAATTGGGTTCTGCTGCCAGTTACAAGCTAAAGAACCAATGAAGCATGAGCAAAGGACTTCGGGGAACCAAATATAAAAGTTTGGTCAGTGAAAACCTCCGATTAGTTTAAAATTTGGGGATGGACACATCACTCAATGCCTTTGGTGGTTACGGCCCTATACGTGCTGGGTGCTATTTTTCAAAAAATGTGATAATGAATGATTGTATAATTGTTATATATAATGTTTTTTAAGGGTTTGTAGCATGCACGAGTTGTGCTGGTGTGTGTGTGTGTGGTCATGATGATGAAGACTGTGGAGTAAGAGCATGTTGAGTGCGCTTTTCCTCTTCAGTATAGGGCATCACTGCAGTATTCTGGATGACCTCTTCTTCACAATCAAACTTTACAGATTTGCAGCTCTACATTTGATTAATATCAACAAACCACTATGCATGCCCAGCCACCCCACTCACACACACACACACACACTTCCCTCTCCTTTTGGAGGATGTGTCTTGTGTGTGTGTGTTCAGTCACTGCATTGCTCATTGAGATGGAGAGTCTCACGCCATAATGAGATGCAGCCGCTGACTTGCGCGTCTTTGACAGCACTGCCGATAAAGTTAATACGCTAAATACGGACACACACACACACACACACGCTCTCAGAGTTGCACGCAATGCCTAATGACATTTACATACCGCTGCAATGCAAATGCACAATGCTTGTGCTGTTCCTCACACATAAAAGCACGTTGTGGGATCTCAAACGGCAGTTGAGCCAAAATGTCTATCAGAAAGAGAGAATAATTAGAGAGGATGTGATGAAACTGGCCGTGCCAAGTATGGACGTGCCTGTTCTGGTGACACCACAACACATGCACACTTCATTTCCAAGATTAAAGGGATTGTTCACCCAGAAATGAACATTTAACTCACCTTCATGTCGGTCCAAACCGGAATGGCTTTCTTTAATCTGTGGAGCACAAAACGAGACGTTTCGCAGAATGTTCACACTGCTCTGTTTTGTAGGGGTGTTAAGTGTACACAGACGTCACGGTTCGGTACATTTACAACGGCATCCTGCGAGACATCATTCGAAACTGTAAAGGGTCTGTATTTATTTGTGTACACTCACAACAAAGACAAAACATTCTGCTTTTGTAAAATAAAGAAAACAAACAGGATGTCGCATTTTTGTTTCCTTTCCGTGAAGTTTGTGGAGCGCGTCACAAAAAATTAATCTAAACGCAGCGTATTGGCTACTATCAAGCTCTTGCGTGCTTCTGAACGCTTGTTTTGGGTTGGTGCGTAGATCATCTCTTCTTCTTCGGCTCTTTTTCCTGTTGTGGTGGTTAGCAAACAGCGTTGCATTACCGCACGCGCGCCCTCTTCTGGACTGTGGATCGCCTGTGTCTGACTGTATTCATCATCTGACTGTATAGAGAGCCTAAGTCCCTCCCCTTCCGGTCGACCACCATGGGACCTTATTTCGGAAGAATATTGTATGGTAGTCAATGGCGAGAGACAACAAATATTTTGATCTCGTTTGAATTGTGCCCTGAATTACACATATGATGTTTGGCAATTTAAAAGATACATTTTAAAGTCAAGAAAGTCACGGTTTGATGTAAAACTGTTGAGGTATAAGACTGTGAAAATACGTAATTACAAAGACTACAAACCCCAAAGGCGCACATTTTCTCTCAATGAATGAAGCTAACTTTACTGAAGCTAACTTTACTGGAGCTAACTTTACTGAAGCTAACTTTACTGAAGCTAACTTTACTGAAGCTAACTTTACTGTAACTAACCTTACTGAAGCTAACTTTACTGAAGCTAACTTTACTGAAGCTAACCTTACTGAAGCTAACTTTACTGAAGCTAACCTTACTGAAGCTAACCTTACTGAAGCTAACTTTACTGAACCTAACCTTACTGAAGCTAACATTACTGAAGCTAACTCTACTGAAGCTAACCTTCCTGAAGCTAAATTTACTGAAGCTAACCTTACTGAAGTTAACTTTACTGAAGCTAACTTTACTGAAGCTAACCTGAAGCTAACTTTACTGAAGCTAACTTTACTGAAGCGCTAACTTTACTGAAGCTAACTTTACTGAAGCTAACTTTACTGAAGCTAACTTTACTGTAACTGACTTTACTGAAGCTGACTTTACTGAAGCTAACTTTACTGAAGCTAACTTTACTGAAGCTAACTTTACTGAAGCTAACTTTACTGAAGCTAACTGTACTGAAGCTAACTGTACTGAAGCTAACTTTACTGAAGCTAACTGTACTGGAGCTAACCTTACTGAAGCTAACTTTACTGAAGCTAACTTTACTGAAGCTAACTTTACTGAAGCTAACGTCTGTCAGTGTTTCTATAGTCTTGCGTTATAATCGTAACGTTACGCCGTCATGCCTGAGTGTTTTGTACCAGACTGCACACACACGAGCAGCGGATCTCGCTCGTTGTTTCGCTTCCCGGGAGATGTAGTTCATTGAGCGATTTTCACATAAAACTAAATGTTACTCTTCTGTTTTATGACAAACTGCGACTTTCTTGATCTTCAGAATTATCTTTTAAATTGACAAACATCATATGTGTAATTCAGGGCACAGTTTAGACGGAATAAAAAGATAAGTTGTCTCTCGCCATTGACTACCATACAGATTTTTTCCGAAATAAGGTCCCATGAGCCGGAAGCGGAGGGGCGGGGCTTAGGCTCTCTATGATCCGAACCGTGACGAACACATGAACCGTTACACGCCTAGTATTTTGCACAATTATAGTATTTTGCACAAAGTGAATGCAGACGAGGGCTAATAAGCTTGGTAAAAACAGCAATAATTTTTCATCGTGAGTATTGTAAATACACTGTTTTTATGAACTTACTGTACCTTTGCTGTGTTGTCTCATCCTTTTAACACCCACTCATTTTAAAAAAGGTCAAATTCACTGAATTGGCTGATCGTTACACTCCAAAATTGTGTTTTGGTGTGTTAAATCTCATTCACATTTGTGTTCATTCAATGTGGTGAATCCAGATTTGACGTCATTGGTTGACGTGAGAGCCAGTGGTGTTCAAAGTCCATATTTCAATGTAAACGCAATGAGATTTTAGAGCTACGTCCAAGAGGTTTTATAGATTTATAGTGAAAGAAAAACAAAGTGATACAGGTAAACAATGACAGAATTGTCCACTTTAGGGTGCAATATCCCTTTAAGATACATTTGAACACCTAATCTCTTATTTCCTTTTTGCAGTCACTTATTCTTTCTCCCTCTCACTTTTTTTCCAGCTGAATTGCTTTAAAGAAGTATATTTTTCAATGTATGAGTAATTTTAGTGCTTCAAGCTAAACTTGTTTCAGTTAGTTAGTTGTCAAGGCAACATTTAGTTGGTTTAATAATTTTCTTCTTCCTTTTTTAAGGGTTAGTTAAGCATAATAAAGTGGTGATGACATGGATGCAGGAATAGATCTTTTCCTCCGCATTGTGACAAACATCCAAGTGTAACAGATTATCGAAAAGAGATTTAAGAGCCGAGATGATGATTCATAGAGAACAACAGTCGGGTTCTGGAAGTAAAAATAATGATAACTTATAAACCTTTAAAGACAGCTTTACTGTGAGCTACGATGTTATTAATCGATGGTATTTGCTTCTGTCGAAGCCATCAGGCCACATTATTTCAGCTTAGTTTTAAAATTATCATGTTTAACCATAGAATTCGTGGTGAAAAACTACATTACCCATAATGCTGTACAGAAAGTTCCACCAATCAGAGAGTTTAAACAAGGTCCGCCCACTCCCATGAAGCACTGCAAATGACAATCTAATCGCTCTCAAATACTGAAATGTTTGTATATGCATTTAGTTTTCTATATATATATATAATAAACATTTTAAGCACTTAGTTTTTTATTTTTCTATCATTTTTAACTCGATTATGCTGTTCGCAATGCATCATGGGATTGTAGTTCTTTCCCTCACTAAAGCTGTTAAGTTCACAGTCTCGTACCTCTGTCTTTTTGTCCGATTCTCAAATACTTTTTTGCTTCAAATCAAAGTTTGTAATGTTGTGACTCACCTTGTAGCTGATTAACTCTTTAATGAAGACTATTTTAAAAACTCTATGGGGGAAATAAATGGAAACGGCAATGGCAGCCACTTTTGCACTATATAGTGAAAGTAAAGCAGAAATTAATACAGAATTTTCCATTTTAGGGTGAACTATTCCTTTGAAAAACATAAGCACCTCTTTCTCTTTGCAGTCACTCATTCTTTCTTTCTTTCTCTCGCTCTTCCAGGTGGGTTGTTTATAAGAAACACGGATCAAGAATATACAGCTTTCCGCTTGGCCATATTTCTCCACAACACGAGTCCGAACGCCACGGAGGCGCCATTCAACCTGGTTCCACACGTCGACAACATCGAGACGGCCAACAGCTTTGCTGTCACCAATGCCTGTGAGTGAAAGATGTCAAACGTTATGCCACACAGTCAGAGAAAACGAGTGGAGTTTGTATTGATAGCCAGTCATCGGTAGTTTGATTTCCTGGAGTGAAACACTGATGCATTTGTTTGAGTGGCATGTCAACCTCTGACGTGAGTTTGAGGGCGGGACTATCTGTCTGACTGACCAATGGCAGACGAGGAGCATCTGAGAAACCTGTTTGAAAACAGTCATTATTTGTGCTATTCTGTTAATGCAGCGTTAATGACACAATGCAACTCTTTAAGTTTCATTCATTCAGTGCATGCATAGTCAAACCAAAAATTATTCAGACACCAGATATCATTTTTGATAGTGATTTTTTACTAGTGTGTGCAGGACACTATAGTTCATTTATGTAAGTGAGGAGAGCAAAATAAAGTAAACTGTGACATATTACACCCAATAATTCTTCATACAGTGACTACCTACCAGTAATATCTATAAACATTTGGGACTAAAAATGATTCCGACATCATGTTTTCTTAAGTGTTTTTTCTGTAATTGCTAATGCTCTTTTTACACACAGACTGAACAACATGAAGCATTGCTTGGTCACTGGTTGAGCTAAACTGGTATTATCTAATTGTGTAGTTAAATTTAACAGCTGACAGATATTCAACATAATTCATGTGTGAGAGTCTAACAGAAGGACGGACAAAACCAGTCAAATATCCACTGATCTAATAACTCTGAGTTCTTCATATTTTACTACCATTTTCTAAACTATAGCGAATAAACTGTGATAAAGTGAGAAATGTCGAAGGTTTGACTGTACCTCAACTCTTGTCCAGCTTTGGTGTGCGTCTGTCTGAGTGGTTGTCGGTCGATTTCTTTTCAGTTGCCTGCATTCAAGTGAGAAACAAAAAGGGTTGTAGAGCAGAACTGTTCTCTATGCAAACACAGACGCGCATTACAAGCCTGTTTACACACTTAAAGTGCATCTTTGAGTACTGTAGAAACCTCGGCACTCAAGAGGCCATTGAGATCTTAAAACCTTTTCCAGTTAAGGTAATCATGGAAACGTGTCCCGGAGTCGTGTACGCAGGCGTGCTCCACTGGGAGTCGACAGGACCTGTATCGTTGACTGATTTCTGCAGTAGAGATCAGTGCTGATAGGACAGCCGGCATGCCGAGCTTCACAGGAGTCTGAGAGCAGCATGAGCATTGGGAAAAGCATCTAATTGGCCATTAATTCATGTGTTTATTAAGTAAGCCTGACTTTTATATGATGATTGCGTGAGCTTTGAATTGGGCAGGCTTATTATAAATCTGCTTTCTTGATTACGGACTAAATATTGTACAAACAGATCCGAAACTGCTCACTCGTTTACATTAAGCGATTAGTTTGAGGAGCAGTTTTAAAGAAGAGAAACATTAAGCACGCAATTATGAGTTCTTCCCCAATAGTGGCATCAGATTTCAGGTGTTTACGCCAGTTTTATTTTAGTAGTATTTATTAATATTTTAAATAGCTTTTGTTTGAATGTTTTATTTTTGTGTTTTAATTTTAGTTCAATTTTATTATAATTCGAAGTGCTTTTTTTTTGAGTTTGAGTTTTTTTATTTATTTCCAGTTAGTAATTTTAGCGCTTCAATCTAAACTATACTAAGGCAAAATTTCTCATTTTCTTTTAGTTTAAAGTCCACCTGTAGTCAATCATTTTATCCCTTAAAACTTTTTTAATATTTACGTAAACGTTTTTTTCCTTGAAAAAACATTCTTCATGCCTTAAAATATCTTGAACGTAACTCGACACCCTTGCTTCATTTAGTATGCGCGGTTCTATAAATATGCAAATGAGCCCCGCCTCCACTCACTCAGCTCGGATATCCACTGGTTGACGATCACACGTTGATCTGATTGGTTACAAGGTCGTTTGTGACGTCAGAAACACCAGTGATTTCAAACCGTGTTTTTGAGACTGTCTTTGGTTCACTGCAGTTTTAAGGAGGAAATACTCAGCAATGCTGTCGACTTATGAACTTACACATGGTGTGTTTTAAAGCACATTAAAAACACCACATACACATTTTCACCACAGGGGGACTTTAATTTTTTTATCTAATACTTCAATTTAATTTAATTTCAGTTTTAATAGTTTTAGTTTAAATGGAAGTAGAGAAAGATCCTTTGTTCCGTATTGTGATGTACATTCAAAAAGAAAAAATGTAGGGCGGGGACTTGCTGTAATGTGTCGGATGTTGATTGGCCGTTGAGGTGTGGGCGTGGCACTTAAAAGTACATGCAAATGAAGGGGCGGGGTTTAACAGGACTAAATGACTGGAGAATCCCGCATACGTCACCAGAGACAAGTTTTCACCGGAAGGTCCAGTTATGAACAACATTTTCAACAATGTCAGATAAATTGTTCAGATGAAATTTTCGGGTAACATTTTTATTTATTTATTTAAAAGGGACAGTGCATATTAATGAACATCTAAGCTTTTCAGCAATATAAATATGTCAGAATTAGCCCATAGGCTATTTTACACCTGCACAGTACAAAGTAACACAGCTAAACATTGAAATTAAATACGATACAACACAATTCAAAAGACGCCACAATTTTCAACAACACATTATAAAAGACACCACAGTTAGCAGACAGGGCATCTAGTACGGCAGACACACACATATACACATACACAGTAAAGTGCTATTCTATGTACATTTGAATTATTTTAAGGTGCTATTTAATGCAGTAAAGTGCAAAGTACATATTAACAAATACAATACACATAAAATACAACAAAGAGCGCTAGTGGTCACAAATTTGATGCTCGGGGCCGCGTAACATTTTAGGGTCCAATTCTCACTATTAACTAGTTGCTTATTATCATGCATATTACAGAGATTTTGGCTGTTTTTTAGTACTCATGAAGCACATATTAATGCCTTATTCTGCATGATCATATTCTACATCCCGTAATCCCTAAACTTAAAGGAATAGTTTACTTAAAAAAGAAAATTCGGTCATCATTTACTCACCCTCAAGTTGTTTCAAACCTGAATTTCTTTCTTCTGAGGAAGATATTTTAAAGAACGTCGGTAATCGGACAGTTAATGGACCCTATTGATGTCCATATAGTAGTAAAAAAAAAAAAAAAATCTTCCTGATCAGTTCCCGACAAAACATCTTCTTTTGTGTTCATCAAAACACAGATCTTCATACAGGTTTGAAACATCCTGAAGGTGCTAAGCAGATCCAGCAGCTTTTAGAGCCTCTCTGTATGCAATCGAGCTCTCCTTCCATGAAATGCGAAATACCTTTAGTTTAGTTTTCTTCCAGTTGCGCTCCATGTTTCTGGCTGTTCTCTTAAGGGCCTCGCTGTACCACGGCGTTGGACTATTTTCTTTAATCTTCTTTAAGCGCAACCGAGCAACTGTGTCTAAAGTGCTGGAAAAGAGAGAGTTAAACATTTCTGTTGCAATATCGAGTTCTTCTAAGCTATCCGGGATGCTGAGATGATGACACTGATCAGGAAGATTATTAATAAAGCAATCTTTAGTGGCAGAAGTGATAGGTCTAACAGATTTGTAACACGTTTTAAACATCTTGAAAGGGAGCAATTGATGACCGAATTATCATTTTTAAGTGAACTGTTCCTTTAACAACTACCTTAATAACTATTAATAAGCAGTAATTAGGAGTTTTTGATCCAAAAGTCGTAGTTAATAGTGAGAATTGGATCCGAATCTAAAGTGTGACCAAACTTTTACTTCATGACGACTTTAACAGAAACCAGAGAGCGAAATACAGATCTAAAGAGCGACTCAAGAACTTTAAACACACAAAACGGTTCTTAAGGAATGACTGAAGATGTGTGTGTGTGTGTGTGTTCAGAGCAGGAGGCGAGCCAATCCCAGTTTAACCTCTCTCCCGCCGGGAAGAAACCTCGTGCACTCTCGCTCACTGGACGCCCAGCCTGAGTCTGCAGAATGTGTGTGTGTGTGTGTTATCTCTGCCCTGGCTGCCTTCCAGCTCTTTTAGCCCTCATCAGCTGCGGAATACTGACAGCTTTGGGGATGAGGTGTGTGTGTGTGTGTGTGTGTGATAGATGGAGAGAAAGAGGTAGAGAGGTGAAGTTAATCGTTTCCCGCTCGTCTCCTCCGGCTGCAGGAGAGAATAAGGAGTGGAAAGGGTTTTCTCTTTTATCCTAACACACCTTTATCTGAGCACTTAAAAGCGGCGAGCAGAATCAATCTCTGAATGAGTTTCAGCGGAGAGAGAGAGAGAGAGAGAGAGAGACGAGAGAGAGAGAGAGAGAGAGAGAGAGAGAGAGAGAGAGAGAGAGAGAGAGAGAGAGAGAGAGAGAGAACGCGTGATGAATGGAATCAGGAGACGGAGGGATTTATTTAATGAAAGGGGAGGAACCAAGAAATTACGGGAATGATGTGTTGTCGAATGCAGGGCACAAACGGAGAAACGGAGGGAGGAGAGAAAAGAGAAACGGGAGAGAGAGAGATAAATGGATGGGTGTGTCGTGACCTTTGTGCAGCAGTAAATGTTTAGAGCAAACACACACTGAGAGAGAGAGAGAGAGAGAGAGAGAGAGAGAGAGAGAGAGAGAGAGAGAGAGAGAGAGAGAGAGACGAGAGAGAGAGAGAGAGAGAGAGAGAGAGAGAGAGAGAGGAGACTAAAAGATAAAGAAAAACACAAGCAACAGTGATGGATGAGAGAAAAATGTTTTTGGATGATGAATGCAGTAAATGGACAGAACGAACGATAAAACAGAAAGATAGAATGATAGATAGATAGACCTGCTATCTATCTATCTATCTATCATCTATCTATCTATCTATCTATCTATCTATCTATCTATCTATCTATCTATCTATCTATCTATCTATTGTTTTTTCATTCTATCACTCTATCTATCTATCATTTTGTCATTATATCACTCTATTGCTCTAAGTATCTATCCATCCATCCATCCATCCATTCATCCATCCATCCATCCATCTATCTA